GAGGGCCTTGGGGACTCCGTGGCAGCAGAAAGCCTGTTCCCAGAGCTGCCCTCAGGAAGAGAGCCCCCGGGGGGGGCTGTCTACTCAGTGACCCCTTGTTCCCTGCGCTGTGAGGTGCGATTCCCACGGACTCACCCACCTGTGGATTGGCCCAGACACCTCGGCCCAGCCTGGGCAGAGAACAAGGCTCTTCCCAGGGGAGAGACCTTGGGGACTCCGTGGCAGCAGAAAGCCTGTTCCCAGAGCTGCCCTCAGGAAGAGAGCCCCCGGGGGGGGCTGTCTACTCAGTGACCCCTTGTTCCCTGCGCTGTGAGGTGCGATTCCCACGGACTCACCCACCTGTGGATTGGCCCAGACACCTCGGCCCAGCCTGGGCAGAGAACAAGGCTCTTCCCAGGGGAGAGACAAAGGGAGGGAGGTGGAGATGCCACCTGGCTGGGGCAGGGTGTGAGGCAGGTCCTGGCTGGGAAACGTGAAGGGGACAGACTAAGCTGGGGGTTGGGGGGGGCGATGGATCCCCTCCCCCAAGGGTCTGAGGCAGCCAGGCCCTGACTCCTGTAGCCACGTCCCGTCTGTGCTGGGCTCAGCCTGCCCCAGCCTGTAGAACCGTTCTGGCTGCTCCGCGGCAGCAGGAGCGGGGGGACCACGACTTGCCGTCACAGCCCCCCCCTTCAATTGCCATGTGGGAGATGGACACAGCCCTGCTCCCTTGCAGCTCTGCCCCGCTGCCCGGGGGTGCCGGAGCAGGCCCAGGCCCTGTGCGCCAACGAGGCTGGGTGATCCCGATAGCCCAGCCCTGAGCTGTTCACAGCTTGGCTGCTGCTGCCCCAGCCCTGCCAAAGGGCCCTGATCCCCGGCCAGTGGAGGTGCCCTGGGAGGAGACGTTGCCACGGGTGGGGGTTTGCTGTCCCTCCCCATCCCCCCCTCCGGCCCACCTTGGCAGGTTGCTCCCATCTGCCCTGCGCTCCCCAGCCCCGGGCTGCACCTTCCTCCTCCTGCCGAGCCTTGTGCGCCCTCCCCCCCCGGTTTCATACCCGCCAGCCCCGCGGGGGTGTGCTGGGCTTTGGGCCCGGAAGGCCGGCCTTGGCGCGGCCAGGGTACGCAGGGCATGTCCCCGGCAGCAAGTCCTTCCTCCGGCTTAAGGAGATTAAGGCAAATGCCAGCGGCACACGCGGTTCCCAGAGGGCTGTTCCTCCTCGAGCTGCCGGTAGCTGCTTAATCCAAGGGCTGTTGCTTTTCG